GCAAGAAGGGAGGGAGCGAGGAGCCCTCCTGACCTGGCTTGCTGTAGAAGGGAGGTCTCGTGGCGAGTGAGAGGAAGGTGGGAAAGAGAGGGGAAGTCAAGGGGGTTAGCCTGAGTAGTCAGGTAATGACGCCATTGGCTGGCGTGCTCCTGCCGGGCTTCGTGTGAATCGTGAAAGGAGCCAGGTGTGAGCTCCGGTGGCGTAGGAAAAGTAGGGGCCCCGGCTCGCGCGGAGAGAAGTTTAGCGCGCGCAAGTCGGTGAGCCCTTTCATTGCCGGGTATGCCGCTGTGGGCGGGCACCCAGTCGATGAGGGGATGGTGGCCGGCTGTCCGGATAGAAATGGCTGCCCGATGAATCTGAATAGCGATGGCAGATGATGGGGATGAGTGGCGGAGAGCACGGATGGCTTCTTGAGAATCTGTATATATTACGATTCTGGAGGAGGGTACCAGGGTGAAAGTGTTAACGGAGGTTAAGCAGTGCAGTATAGCACAAAGTTCAGCGTGACTAGAGGAGCAGGGGTCATGAAAACTTGTGTACCGCGTCGATGACCGTCGAGATCGCACCATGCCGTGCTGAAGATTGGCGTGGAGTTATTGTCCACAGCCGCGTCCGCGTAGAAAACTAGAGCCGATGAAGAGCGAACAAGGAGAGAGTGGAGATGTCGGCGAGCAAAGTCGCTGCGGCGGGCTTGCGCTTTTTCACCCATGTTCCGAGGGAGGGGACGGGGTGCTGTGAGAGGGCAGAGCTCCCATGGCGGGGGTGGGGTGGGTAAAGGTAGGATGTGGTCGATGTTGTAACCTAGCTTACGCAGTGTGAAGCGCCCCGCTAGAGTGGCTCGGAGTCGAGTTTCTTGAGTTGCGATCTGGGTGGAGGCCAGGTCGTCAAGGCTGTTCATCTGGCTGCAGCTGGTGAGCGCATTGATTCGCGTGTATCTCGGAAGGCCGGTGACAATTCGTTGCAGTTCCAGATTAATTATTTCGAGCCTGAGTTTTTGGGTGCGGGTAAGGTGGTAGTACGGGTAGCCGTACATAATGCGGGACACCACGAAGGCCCTAGCAAAGATACGGAGATCATGTTCGTGCACCCCGCGGGAGCGGTGGGCTACCCTGTATAAAAGGTGGTTCAGCTGTTTCGAGGTGCTGATGGTACGCTGAAACCAAGTCGCCGCCCGGCTGTCTTGGTCGAGGTGAAAACCAAGAATCCGGATGCTCGTGCGGCGTGAGATGGGAGTACCTGCGAGCGTGAGCTGAATGCACTGTTTTTCTGCTTCTTTTGCTGGTGTGCGACGACCGCCATGAATAACGACGAACTCCGTCTTGTCGGGAGCGGGAGCGAGGCCAACAGACTGGATGTAGTCGTGAATGATGTCGAGCCCAGCTTGAATGGCATCCTGTTGGTAACCGGGTGAGCCAGAGTGTGTCCACAACGTAATATCGTCGGCGTAGATCGCATGTTCGGGGTTAGGCACCTCACTAAGGCGGGGAGGAAGGCCAGCAAGGACGATATGAAAAGTACTGGAGAAAGAACGGACCCTTGTGGAACGCCCACTCGGTTTGTATGGGTGATTCCGTGGGATGTGCCGACGTGAACAGTGAAAGTGCGATCTTCGAGGAATGCCGCGATGAAGTTGTATGCCCGACCGGTGATGCCTAGCTGTTGTGCCATTGAGAGGACGGAGGAGTGCGGAACGCTTTTAAGCGCCTTGCGCACGTCGACCCCTGCCACAATACGAAGATGCGGTGATGATGTAGATAGCGTATCGTGCTGGAGGCGGGTCATGACGTCCTGAGTGGAGAGTCCAGGGCGGAACCCGTATTGCGATGGGCTGAGCAGCTGGTTGGACTCAAGCCACCACTGCAGACGGACGTTCAGCATGCTCTCAACCGTTTTGCAGAGACATGATGTGAGGGATACTGGGCGTAGATTTGTGAGAGACGTAGGTGGTTTGCCGGGCTTCGGAATAGGACATACCGTCGAGTGACGCCACTCGGAAGGGACGCACCCAGAATCCCACACCAGGTTGATCTCCGTCAGTACGGTCTCTTTTAGGGCGGTGGGAAGGTTGCGAAGTTGCCCGACGGTGATGTTGTCAGGGCCTGGTGCACTGTGTGTGTTTGCCCTATCCAGGGCGGCCTCGAGTTCGTGGAGGGTGAACGGGGAATCCAAGCCGATGGGCTCGGGAACAGGGTGAATACGAGTGTAGCACCCAGGGTCATGCCGAGATGGTTGTGGAAAAAAGACATCAGACGCTCTTTCTGCTAGCTCCTCGAAAGAAACGCCTTCGCGGAGGGCAACGGCAGCGGCAGGTTGTCTAGGTTCGCGGTCTCCTAGGAGAAAGCGCAGAAGCCTCCATACTTTGGAGAGATTGGTATTACCGGAAACGGAGCTGCACATGGAGGTCCAGCGGTCAGAAGCCAGTTCCGATGTGTAGCTCGAGATGGTGTCTTGCACCTGGCGCAAAACCCTGAGGAGCCGACGTGGTCTACCAGACCGGCGGTAGCGAGCCAACAGGCGTATGCGGCGGTTCCAAAGGGTGAGTAAATGTGCATCAGGTGCCGGAGCGTCCCCGGGAACGGTTAGGCGTTTGGTGGCGGCCTTGTGGGTACACTGGATGGCTTGTATAATGTCTGAGAAACCGGTGACGTTCATGACAGAAACCAGGGCTGCCCGAAACTTGTCCCACTTGGTGATAAAGGTGTCCCGACGGGTGTTGTGGTGCGATGAAGTTGGAGATGGGAAGTGATAATGTAAAGTGATGGGAAGGTGACCGCTGCCGAGGTGATCGCTGGTGACCTGTCACTTCCAGCGTTGAGGAAAGCGAGCCCAGGTCAGGTCGGGGCAAGTGTCTTGTTGCCGGGAGGTTTGGCCGATACGTGTAGGTGTGTCTGGGGTATTCAGGAGGGAAAGTTTGAGTTCGGTGAGGTCCGCAAGGAGCCGTGTACCGCGAAAAAGGTCAACATCGTAACTTCAGGCCGTATGTTTTGCGTTGAAATCACCGCATACTATAATGTCGTCCTTGGGGTAAAGACGAGAAAAGTGTTTGATGAAGGCGACATTTAGCGGCTGCCTTGTGCGACGATATAGCGACGTGTCGGGGGTCACGTACACAGAGAAAAGAAGAACAGGTCGGCGAGGAAGTAGGAGCAGTCGGCAACCCGTAACGCTGGTGATGATGGAGCACCACTGTGATGTGTCGAGGGGAGTGAATGGGACTGAGCGATGTACATACAGTGCGGCGCGGATACGAGGCAAGGAGGCACTAGTCTCGGCGTCCGGAGCAAGTCCGTCGTACTGTGGCAAAGCCGGAAGTGGGCCGTTGAGTTCTTGTATAGCGAAGGCAGCGGGTGTGTCAGATGGAGAATGAAGATGAAATTTTTCGATAAGGTCTGCTTTTTTGCGTCGGAGCGAGCGACAGTTCCATTGAACAATTGTGGGTGCGCTAGTCATGTTTAGGCGTGAATTGCGCGGGAGGGCCGAATGGAATGATGCCCTGCATCATGAGACGCTCAATGACTGCACGGGTGCAGGTATCCACCTGCACCCGTGATACCTGGAGGGCTCCGGCACCACAAAAAGGCGATTGGCCGATACCTGAGGCTTATGGTGCCGTACTACTACAACTTTTATGTACTGAGATTTAAATCTACTTGCTCGTAACAACAAAAATGCAGACATGCATGAATAATTTCAGTCATAGAAATCTCGATGTTTTTTAAACCTAAATGCTCATTTCAAATGCAAACTGGTCGAGATGATTCACCATCTTTAGTTGTGCATGTTTTCTTTTAGTATGATTGTCATTCGCATATTTATTATTTATAGTTGAGCAAGTTTTACGTATCTATTTCTATTTTTACTTGTGCCACATTACAGGTTGCTTATGGACACACAAATAAAGACATAATGATGAGTTATTGTCTACTTTGCTTATAGGCTTCTTAGCCGGAAGAAGACAACGGGTGCAGGGGGAATAACGTGGAGATTCTACTGGGACCTGCACCGTTTCCTGGGCTCCTTACCGGCAAACGATGCCAGTCTCACGGAGGAGTCCGTATGTAGCGGAGGTGACTCCGTTGAGCATGTGAGTACATTCCTGCAGCAACCACTTTTTAGGAGCACACAAACCCACAGAAATATCAACTTATTGTGAATATCAGGGTAGATTGCTTGGCTAGTTGGTTGTTCAAAGACATGATTAAAAAACACCACAAAAGGACAGGACAAAAGTAGGAGCATACAGGACGGACGCTAGCTGACAGCTAAAAATTGCTTGCAGGCAGATGGCTCCAAACCCATTGGTCTAGTGGGGCCGCTCTGTACTGCACTTCATCTGGACGAGTTTTTCCCAGTAGGGAGGGGCATCATGTAAACCTTGCATTCCGCCACATGGAGCACAACGTTCAACTTTACTTTTCGAAATTGGAAAACAGGTTCCTGTTAAGCGTTAATATTGATGGACATATTTTCCCTGCTATGATGCACATATGTATTCTTCGAGGTTTTTAATGAAGTGGTCAGCGGGAACTCAAGCCAGGTCGGAGAGCGGTCCCCTCAAGATGGTCTCACCAGTGAGCCTGCATCACCTGGATCGCAGGCCCCAGCTGAAGAGTTGCCAAACTCATCGCCCTCTACACCCACGCCAAGACAGAAAGCAGCGGAGAGGCCAGCAAAGCCAAAGAAGCACCAGGCTTTACACGCAACCTTCTTGGCGCAGCTGCTCGAAGAACAGCGGCAGCTGCGTTATTCGCAGGAAAAATCTCGCGAAAAAGAACTGGCTGTACGCTAACGGCAGCTAAAGCTGCTAGAGCTTGCAGCAGAGAGGGAAGATCATTTGATCGACGTCCTCACTCAACTTCTGACGAAATAAAGCAAACGCCTCACAGCTTCACACCACTGTGGCATTTATTTGTTCGACTGCACATATGTCGATGGTCTGTGTTGTCTACTGGCCTTTCTACTTGTGCCTAGTGTAGGGTGAGCCGCTTCCAGATGCGTTTTTAACTGGCTGCTGTAGCTGCTCCCGATGCACGCTGATCCCGCTTCCAGAAGTAGGCTGCCAGTGCGTCTCTGACCTCTTCGCCTCTCCCATTCCACACGTCAGTGTTGCGAGCCGGCTGTGCATAGAAAGAGTCAAGCTCACGTACTTCGTGCTCCCACTGCTGTTCAACTTTGTCTCTGAATTCCTCGCAGATGTTATGAAGTACACATGCGGCCCTAATTGCTCGCTTTGCGCATTGCAGGTGGCATTCCATTCTCTTCATAATAAATCGGAAGCGAGCTTTCAGTCTGCCAAAGGCATTTTCGGCTATTCTTCTCGTCTTTGAGAGGTTGTAGTTGAAGGAAGCTTCCCGTGTCTCGCTTGAGGCATTTGCGTACGGCAGGGCCGTACCCAGAAAAAAATTTCGGGGGGGGTTTTCGGGGACAACGGCGGCCATTTTGAAAGTGTCTATTGTCTTATTTTCGCCTATGAATCATGTGCATCGGTGGTATATAATGGAGAGTTGCAGCAAACCGGAGAACCGGTCCCGGTTTGGTATCCGGTAGCCAACCGGCGCCACTGCGCGTGCGCAGAGGTGGAGATTAAAATCGGCTGGCTGCAAGTGCACCGACCAGGGCCGTACCCAGAAAAAAATTTCGGGGGGGGTCAGAACCCCCTATCCCCCCCCCTGGTTACGGCCCTGGCGTACGGCTTTAGCAGGTGTGTAGTCAAAGGGAATGCTTGGTCGCACAAGATAACTGGCTCTACGACAGTACCTTCAATCACTACCACAGGAGACTGGAAGTGATCACCGTCAACAAGTGCGCACAGTGTTGAACGTCCGTACAGGTTGACGTCATGGCACCTACCGGGGCTTCCCAAGTTTATGTACCGGAAACGGTACCGGTGGTCAACCAACGCCAAAAGGATGATACTATACCTGTGTTGAGAAAGAAAAGAAGAAAAAAAAAACAATAGGCATAAATATGGCATGTTTCAGAAGTAATGAATAGAGTTTAAAATTATTAATTCTTCATGGATGAAGAAAGAATAAAACAATTAAAACAGGGACAACACAACCACATCTTTCAACTAGCAACAGACGAGTAAACTTTCAAACAGCGAGCAGCCGACTATACCCAGTAGGAGTAGGGGAGAGAAGGGGGAGAGAGAAGGAAAGAAAAGAAACGCGAAGTGCAAGTCAGGGTGGTAGGGTTATCTATGTCATCAGTTCCCAACATTCCTTCTCCTTGCCCCACTCTATTTTTTCACTTGACATAGAAGACATGTATTTCAATCTAGATCCTACCACTTTGCTTGCCTCAATCTCCGACGCCATCTTTGAGCACGGAGCTGTGGATTTTCAGAATTCCTCCGGTGTCTCCGTTGCTGGATTCGTGGACCTGATTCATCTATATCTTCAGTCCACCTTAGTCGAACATGAAAGAAGGGTCTACCGCCAAAAAAAGGGCGTTTGCATCGGTTCATGTCTCGCCCCTGTTCTCAGCGAATTGTTCCTTTTATTCGTTGACAGAGCTATAAAAGCACAACTGGACATCTCCGCGCCTGGCTGCCATGTTTTCAGATATGTAGACGATTACATAATCATTCATCCTGCTCGAACTTCTTCAGTTAGCATTACAGCTGTTTTTTCCGCTTGTTCTTCAGGCCTTACATTCACGAAAGAAGAACCATCGAAGGAAGGTCTTCAGTACCTAGATTTGCGGCTTCATGTCTGTGCCACTGGACTCTGCGCTGGGCCTTTCAACAAAGGTCTGCCAAACCTGTCTTACCGTTTTCTAGCGCCCATTCGAAGTCGGTAAAACACGGTATCATCAAATCGTTGTTTTCGTCATCCTTCACAAAGTCTTGCTGTCATCTTTCAGAAGATAGCTTGGATTGGAATACGCCGCGTCAGTTTGGGATCCCAGCCAAGAAAACCTAATAAACTCACTCGAAATGGTCCAAAATAATTCTGTTCGTTTTATACTTTCTAACTATAACCGAACCGCGAGCATAAGTTCAATGAAGTCTAGCCTCAGCCTGCCATCTCTCGCATCTCGCCGTAAAGCTTTTCGTCTCAGTCTCTTTCATAAATTGTTTTACCATTCACATCTGCACGACGAACTTATTTTACCTCCTCAGTACATCTCATCTCGGTTTGATCATGCTAATAAGGTTGGAATTCCATCAGCCAGAACTAACGCTTTCTTTCAGTCATTTCTGCCACGCACATCTGACGAGTGGAATCGCCTTCCTGCTTCAATAGCCACTATCGAAGACTCCCATCCCTTCAAGAACGCCTTAGCTAACATTGTATGATTATATGCCATTTTTTGTTTATTTGTATTACCACTTTTGCTGTACTCTGTTTGTTTAATTTCTTCTTGATTGTAACCACTCCCCTCTCTAATGCCTTTGGCCCTGAGGGTATACTAAATAAATAAATAAATAAATAAATTGCAGCACATGAGGCTCGTCAGGGCAGGGTTTCCCGTCGACCTTCTCCGATCTGTAATGGAAAGGATGATTCGCGGGCCTGATCGCCACTCACCAGCCACAAAAAAGAAAGCCCGTTTCGCCGTCATTCCTTACGTACACAATTCAGCCCACCGGATAAAATCCATTGCGTCAAAGTTCGACACGAATGTTGTCTTCTCGTGCCGCATGCGTCTTAAACAACTATGTCAACAAGTGAACAACAACCGGATTCCGATTGGCTGCACCGTCAAACACGAAAAGAAATTCATTCCTTGCAAAGAGAAGAAAGTTTACTCCATCCCCTTGAGCTGCGGCCATCAATACATAGGACAGACCGGCAGATGCACCAATCACAGACTCCGTGAACATCACAACGAAGTTCCTAAGGCCTCTCCAGATTCTTATCATCCCATAGTCATACATGCCCGTTCGTGTTTGCGTTGTCATCCCCTATTTGATGACACAAAAATCCTGGGGGGGCATGACACCAGATTCGGCAGGGAAATCATAGAATCATTCGCGATGACCACAGCAAAAAACAACGTGTCTAACCCTTCCCTCCTGCTGACGAAAACTGAGGTTGAATTTCTAAGATCCGAGATAACCCTACCACCCTGACTTGCACTTCGCGTTTCTTTTCTTTCCTTCTCTCTCCCGCTTCTCTCCCCTACTCCTACTGGGTATAGTCGGCTGCTCGCTGCTTGAAAGTTTGCTCGTCTGTTGCTAGTTGAAAGATGTGGTTGTGTTGTCCCTGTTTTAATTGTTTTATTCTTTCTTCATCCATGACTTAAACCATCACGCTCTTCTCCCAAGCATACCTACTTTTCTGAGCCATGTACCGTCCCAGTCCCAACTGCGAGCCACCGATCTTCAACCCGGCTTCCTTCTTCGAGGCTGCTTGCTTCATCTCAAGAATGAATTTGCTCCGTCTAAGGCTCCGCTCGCTCGGTGTGCACCTACGCAAGAGCCTCCCTCATCCTGGAGTGGCCTCCGTCCTTGGATTCCACTGTAACACCTGGGCCTCCATCTACCGCATCATGCAGATATCGAGGAAAGAAATATCCCTAGAGCTCCACCTTCTGGGGAGGGTCCTTCCCAGCCATATGACGAACTTGTTTGGCCCTGGCTTCCGCTCGCATCCTTCGTACCTGTTCATCGTCGACGCCGCTTCTCGCCTCCTTGAAGCTTCATGGAAAGAAGTGATTGCTGGAGTGACTGCGTCCTGCCGCAAGCTGAACGAGACGCAGTTGGAACCGCCAGTTCTGTTGTGCAACACTGCTATCTCGTCCGACACCATAGAATTGCTCTCCAAAGGCCCCAAGTTCGCCCCAGACCTTCCCACTAAGAAGGTTGACCAACTCGCCTCAGTACATCAAGTCGCCGCCGCCATCCCAGAACCACAAAGGCAAGATTTTCTCGGCTCCGCCATCCACGCCGTGTGCTTCCACCCACCCCCCAAGCCAGGCAAGATCTCTCTACTCGCCGCTGTTGAAGAGCTTCGTCAAGAACACCTAAAGCTGTTAGAATCCGATAAGACGGGTGTGTTTGTTGTGTTAGAGGAGGGAGATTTTGGAGATAGGGTGAACGCCGCCCTTTCAAAGAATTTTCTCAAACTGAAATCGCGACCGTCTGGGACCCTCAGGTCAAGAGCCAAACAACTCTGCTCGTCTTTGAACCTGTCGTCCTTAAAAACCGCCATTAGTAGTCCAGCGAAGCAGTACCTTTCAGTTTTCTTCACTGCAAAAACACATAAGAGTGGAGTTCCCCTCCGAAGTATTGTGTCAGAGAAGGGTTGTTGGCAGAAGCAGCTCGGGTTCTTTCTACAAAAGCATCTGTCCTGCATCCACCTCCCTCAACCCTTTAGAGTGTCTAACTCAATAGAACTCATCTCTGTCATCAGTTCCCAACATTCCTTCTCCTTGCCCCACTCTATTTTTTCACTTGACATAGAAGACATGTATTTCAATCTAGATCCTACCACTTTGCTTGCCTCAATCTCCGACGCCATCTTTGAGCACAGAGCTGTGGATTTTCAGAATTCCTCCGGTGTCTCCGTTGCTGGATTCGTGGACCTGATTCATCTATATCTTCAGTCCACCTTAGTCAAACATGAAAGAGGGGTCTACCGCCACAAAAAAGGGCGTTTGCATCGGTTCATGTCTCGCCCCTGTTCTCAGCGAATTGTTCCTTTTATTCGTTGACAGAGCTATAAAAGCACAACTGGGCATCTCCGCGCCTGGCTGCCATGTTTTCAGATATGTAGACGATTACCTAATCATTCATCCTGCTCGAACTCCTTCAGTTAGCATTACAGCTGTTTTTTCCGCTTGTTCTTCAGGCCTTACATTCACGAAAGAAGAACCATCGAATGAAGGTCTTCAGTACCTAGATTTGCGGCTTCATGTCAGTGCCACTGGACTGTGCTGGGCCTTTCAACAAAGGTCTGCCAAACCTGTCTTACCGTTTTCTAGCGCCCATTCGAAGTCGGTAAAACACGGTATCATCAAATCGTTGTTTTCTTCATCCTTCACAAAGTCTTGCTGTCATCTTTCAGAAGATAGCTTCAAATTGCAGCACATGAGGCTCGTCAGGGCAGGGTTTCCCGTCGACATTTTCCGATCTGTAATGGAAAGGATGATTCGCGGGCCTGATCGCCACTCACCAGCCACAAAAAAGAAAGCCCGTTTCGCCGTCATTCCTTACGTACACAATTCAGCCCACCGGATAAAATCCATTGCGTCAAAGTTCGACACGAATGTTGTCTTCTTGTGCCGCATGCGTCTTAAACAACTATGTCAACAAGTGAACAACAACCGGATTCCGATTGGCTGCACCGTCAAACACGAAAAGAAATTCATTCCATGCAAAGAGAAGAAAGTTTACTCCATCCCCTTGAGCTGCGGCCATCAATACATAGGACAGACCGGCAGATGCACCAATCACAGACTCCGCGAACATCACAACGAAGTTTCTAAGGCCTCTCCAGATTCTTATCATCCCATAGTCATACATGCCCGTTCGTGTTTGCGTTGTCATCCCTTCTTTGATGACACAAAAATCCTTGGGGGGCATGACAGCAGATTCGGCAGGGAAATCATGGAATCATTCGCGATGACCACAGCAAAAAACAACGTGTCTAACCCTTCCCTCTTGCTGACGAAAACTGAGGTTGAATTTTTAAGATCTGAGATAACCCTACCACCCTGACTTGCACTTCGCGTTTCTTTTCTTTCCTTCTCTCTCCCCCTTCTCTCCCCTACTCCTACTGGGTGTAGTCGGCTGCTCGCTGTTTGAAAAGTTTACTCGTCTGTTGCTAGTTGCTAGTTGAAAGATGTGGTTGTGTTGTCCCTGTTTTAATTGTTTTATTCTTTCTTCATCCATGACTTAAACCAACACGCTCTTCTCCCAAGCAGATTAATTCTTGTAGGAAAAAGAAGCACAGTTTAATTATTTTTTACGTCAACTTCAAAATGATTACCATGACTAAGGAGCACAACACCTATGCTTATTTTTTTTTAAATTCAATTGGATGATGACAGTAAGCATTTTATAGCAAGGGCCCCTAATTTCTTTTCCAAATTCGTAAACGTAAATATATCGCAAATTGCAGTCTGTAGACCAATATTTATCGTAGCAAACAAGTAATGCGGGAAAAGCATAAAGAGACACCTACCACCCCTTGTAGTTGTGGTAATCCGTTGCATGCTCTTTGGGTGGCGACACTGGAAAGTGGCAGCCGTCCAGGGCGCCGACAGCGTGCGGGAATCCAAAAACACCGAAGAACTCGCGCATATGTGCCGTCATCTCGTCCGAACGGACCATCCGGAGCCAGACGTTTTCCAGCTTTTGAATCACGGCATCGCAGAAGTCTTTGTACAGCATGTTTACGATTGAGCGACCGATTCCGAATACGTGCGCGATTGTCCTGTCTTCGGCGCTCAAGCACAAACGGTACAATCCTACTGCCACTCGCTTCTCGAGGGAGATTGGCTCCCCCATATTGGTTCTCTCTCGCTCCAGGAGGCACCTGCATAACTCCACCAGGAATCTGAAGGTGGCAGGAGAGACGCGAAAGGCTTGCTTGAAATGGAACTCGCCCAAATGGGGCAAGGTGTCTTCGAACCACCGTTCGTTCCTCTGGAAAGTCCACCGTTCTCGACTGATCATGGGTAGGTGGTCGGTCATGAGAGTGGCTATGGTGAAGGCATTGGCCTGCAGCTGCTGATTGATGTCACTTGAAATTCTTGCCTGTGCGTCGGCATCCAGGTCCAGCTGCCTCTCATCTGAAATGCGTTGGGTTCTCACGGAGAAAAGTGCCCCAACCACGTGCTTCCACTGTTCAACATCGCGGATATCGCCCGCCAGCTCGTCCTCCACACGCTCCATGATGTTTCGTTGTGGCGAGTGGCGAGTGGCCGAGTGGGCTCGCGCACACTAGATCGGAGCACGCGGAGCAAAAGCTCGCGCTGCAGAACCAGGATACTGGGCTCAATCTCCGCCCCTGCCCGCTTCGATCTGGACGAGAGTCGTACCGGCGTGCGGTCGTGCATCACTGGCTTTTAATGGTTGATCATAATTATCAAATTGGATTTAACTTTGGATTAAGGCTCGTGACTTAGTGCAACAATGTGTGGTAACGTGTTCTTAATAAGACGACGAAATTATTTATAAAAACATGCGTATGCAGTTTAATATTTCACGTGCCCATTACTTTACCTATCGTCATTGCCATCATTTTGGAGTGAAACTAAGTTTTCCCGTGTAGCACCAACACACTTGGGTAGCTAAACTCGTCGAGCACAACTTTGTGTCCGAAAGTTGCGGAGCGTGCTAATTGGACTCTCGCGACGCTGACGTCAAGCCGAGCGAGGTGTCAATCATCCAAGCTCTCTCGGTGCTCAAATTCCAGCGAGAATTTAAAACACAAAGTCGTAGCGAGCCCCATCGAAGCGCGTGCGAGCAACACCGTGGTGCCAGCCGATTGAACGGCTGCACTGATGACGTCTCGCCCGAATGTCCCTACCTCCCTACGCCGCGTTAGAGTCAATGATGCGTAGATTGTACCTAGGCGGCCGGTAAATACTCTGAACTTTCTCGTCGCAAGATCGTCGTTTGTGATGCGTAGATTGTACCTAGGCGGCCGGTAAATACTCTGAACTTTCTCGTCGCAAGATCGTCGTTTGTGGAAGTTATTGGTGACGACAAAGTGACGTTTCACAACTTTGGGAAGGAGTTATTTGAGGCCAAAATCTTCGCTTCGGAATCGATGCGAAGATTGAACTTTGTGATGTTGTGGAGCCGTGCGCGGTGTACGCGGGCGGCTTTATAGAGCTCATCTTCCGCCACTGTCAACAACGCCAACGGGGTCATCCACAGGCGGTTTGTGTAGCGACGACGGTAATGTCTGAGAGATGAAGGAAAACGAAGGATAACAAAAAAAAAATTAAAGACGTTTACAAATCTTTGTAATGCAAAATTAGAGCTCAACTCTTGAGGGGGAATAAGGGAGGGTACGGAGAGGAGGGTATGCCCCTCCTCCTCCCCTCTTCCTTTCCTCCCCTTTTCCTCCCATTCAGTTTCTCCGCTAAATTTAGCAGGGAAAAGGACATCACATGACAATCTAGCGGAGAAGTGAATTGGCGTTGAAGTCACGTAACTGGGAATTGAATTGGTGTTGAGGTCATGTGACGTCAATTTCGCGCTAATTTAGCGGGCCGGTTACGCCGACGGCGACGCCCACGCCGCGAAACCCGGAAACGGGCGCCGAAGAGCTGCACTCTATATAAAGAATTAAGGTACGACCAACACACACACACACACACACACACACGCACACGCACACGCACAAACAAATAGGAGTCTCAAGAAGGGCCGTAGAAATTGTTCGGGAGAGAGAGAGAGAGAAAGAGAGGAGGTGATTGTGGTGAAGAAGGGGGATATTCCTTTCCCCTTATATTTTATTATAACTCTAAAATGCTATGGTGGTTCGGGGCTGGGACGATATCCCCCCCCCCCCCCCCTTCCACCCTTATGCCCCTTGCCCCCTCTTTCGACGGATCTGGGGGAGGGGGGGGGGGCTAAATCCCCCCTCCCCGTCCTCCTGTTTCGACGACCCTGCTTAGAGGTGTTCCAATGAGCAATGACGAGGAACAGCACAGCCTGCAATTATCGAAATAACGGTTCAAGAGATTCTGGAATTAAAACGGCTTGCGTTCCATGAACTCAAGAGTGGCCATGGCAGACATTCAAGCGAAAGACTCGTGCCAGGGCACGTATATAGTGTGCGGGCGCGTTCAGTGACGTCATTTTATAGTTGATACCTTTGACGATGGAGTCAGGATTATCAGTTGTGAACGACAAGTTTGATGGTGCGTGTTCAAATCGACGATTTCAAGTTTAGTGTCCTTGCGTTCTTGAAGCATCACCGCCAATATTGACAACCTGACATTACCGGTACTTTTATTTCCTTATTTCCGTTGATAAACATACTTAATCTCAAACTGACTGATCTTCGAATATCTACCATAAAATGATTTTATCCTGCCGATGAAGGAACAACTGCCCGGAGGCGAAATTCGCCCGAAAATGGACAATGGTAGTCGGCTGGTTGTGACCTAGCCACGTCGGGCTACACTTTGGCCTGAGCCGAGATAAATCAAAAGAACGGCGGGGACGCTTTTTAGTAAATTCTGCTTTATCGGCGGAAATACGAACGATACCAGACTATCAACTTCGACGATGTTTATTTTAAAATGTAATTCCCAAGCATCCATCGTGCTTTTTAGAGACCATCAAACATGACGGTCGCAGCGGTTAATCTTTGTTGTGACGTCACACGTATGAACCACGGTCGTCTCCGCGCGCTCTCTAGTGCTGCTCTTGTTCGGTGCCTAGGGAGGCGTAGGGATTTTTCGTCCGCTCAACGAAAAACGTCACGAAGACAGACGGATCTGCGGGTTTGTGAGAAAAGAAAACTTCGCAGCAATCTTTCGGCTCCTCCCCCCACTATGTCATAACACAAAGAATATTTTTGTTGACGAGTTTAGCGAACTTGGAGTGTGTTTCGACGGGATGAAGTGCACTCGCTTGCAGTGACACTAAACTAGCCCGTCTGACAGGGGTATTACTTTGACGCCTCTGAGTGGGATGAAGTCTACTTTGATTAATAGAAATAAGATGAATGCCAGACTGTCGACTTTGACGGTGTTTGTTTGGCGACGCGATGATTACAAGATTTTCACCGTGCTTTTTACACACTTTATCTAAACTGACCCTGGCGATCGGCAATTATGGTTGGGATTGCTCAGGTAGGATTAATAAGAGGGAGCCTCCAAAAATATCTTGCCGCTAATGTAGCCTAAACCGTAACTGAAATATATTATACATTTAAGATGCCACACCTTGTCAATTTCAAACACAGTAAATAGAGGCCTTGCTATAAAAACAAAAAAGGTTTTTTACGCGACAATTATCGTAAAAGAGAGGACACACGGATTTTCAGAACACCCTTTACAGGGATTTAGTGAAAAATGATCAAACTACTGGTGAAGACATCAATCTTTGATATAGCCGTCTTCTCAGAATGTAAAGGCCCGTTCACACGATGCATTTTTTTCGCGCATCTAGTGTCGCGAAACGTAGTTTCGCAAAATGGTTGCGCCGTCTGAACGAATCCGAAAAGAACGCGCGCATCTACAAAAAGTTGCGCGCACACCTCGCTTCTGGAGCGAGCTTTTACTGAAACTTTGCCGAGTCCTGTCAGTCACTCTGAGGGCGCCACCAATGGCCGCTCAGAAACGCTCTCACGTGGCCTTTGAGGGGGGAGCGAGCTGTTTGAGAAGACCACTTCACTGCCGGCGTTGTAGCCGAGCCAAATCCGAAAACAAAACCGAAACCACGAACGATGGATACTGCCGGCGCTTCCGCAAGCACGTCAAGCACCACTGAAGGAAAAGTGAGTATCATATCGGAAAAAAATTCAGCGATGGACGAAGACGTAATTGGTGATGATGATAATTCGCATCTATTTTTAGTCATAATTATGAAATAAAACCTTCAGACAAGGAAACAAAAAGGGACGTACACAGTACCGTCTCAAAACCAGCACAGCGTACAGCTCTGATTTACTTCCACAACAGTCTTCTTCTTTGTCAACCTCCATCCAAATTATACATATTCAACAGTAAATAAAGTAAATGGCAGTAAATGACATTTCAACAACTAGTAAATGACAATTTAAGAGTAAATTAAGTAAATGGAAGTAAATGACAGCTGTATGCTGTGCTGGTTTTAAGACGGTGGTGTGTATGTCCCTTTTTGTTTCCTTGTCTTAAGGTTTTATTTCTTAATTATGATTGTTCACCAGCTCGCCTGCGTTTTGAGTCTTATACCCCTGTTACACGGGCACCCTTAACCGCGGTTAACTCAGCTTTAACTGCGGTTACGTGGCAGCACAGATGCCGCACTATACCCTCGGACAGCTATTTCAAAAGAAGTGAAAAGAGCGCGTGCACTGCTTTGATGGGTGCTCAAGATGCTCAAGCGCACGTTCGCCCATAGCTCTGACTGCATCGCCGCAGAATGTTGTCGGCAAGTATTGTGCGCTAATTGTGGTTTAGCGTAACTGCAGTTAAGTGTGCCCGTGTAACAAGGGTATTAGAATGTGGCGGGAGATGGAGAACACGACGCTGAATGGCTAATGGTGATGATGATGATGTTGACTTTCAACTGAAGCGCCACTTTATGGTCAACAGCCAAACTATTTTCGTGAGTCTAAACGTCATCGTTGTTGCACGTGAAGCGGTACGTGTGAACGAGCACATTTGGCGAAACTTGAGCGTTGCGAAACTGTTGCGCGCCTAAAAGATGCATCGTGTGAACAGATTCTTAAGGTCTGTTCACACCATAGAGATCATACATACTAACTCTAGAGGAAAAGGTCCGCCATTTTCCCATACATTCTGGCTGCCGCAAGCGGCGGATCATGCAGGCAGACCCTCTGGGTCCCAAACACGGTTACATCATCAGAGCAGTTTCGTGAACTTCAACAATTCACGAACTTACCGGTGAAAAGATATTCACGTTCCTTTCGAAGCTTTCTTTTTGAAAAGCGCGTAGATGTACGGCCTCGCGTTAACGCTAAACTAAGCCATATACCCGGCTTCGCCGGTGGGGCGCGGCTGGGCGCGGTTGAGGAATACGAAACTGCGCAACCACCAGATTTCCGAGATTTCGACAGAAAAGAAGTTAATGCAGCGTAATGAGTTTATTGCTTTTTATAAGCGTTAGAATAGCTCATAATTTAGTTTACAACGTTAAATTATTACTGTTTATATTGCTGAGAGTTTTCACTCTTCGCGTTACCATGGCAACGTTGCTTTCTTTCTCTCGTGTTCTGTCGCTCTCTTTTGCGTTCGTTCACTCGGGACCCAGGATGTCGGCGCACGGGATTTGCCACTCCTCCTCACCCACCTTTACCCCCCTGGTTCACACGAAGCATCTTTTAGGCGCGCAACAGTTTCGCGACACCCAAGTTTCGCGAAATGTGCTCGTTCACACGTACCGCTTCACGTGCAACAACGATGACGTTTTGACTCGCGAAAATAGTTTGGGTGTTGACCATAAAGTGGCGCTTCAGTTGAAATCCAACATCATCATTATCACCATTAGACATTCAGCGCCGTGTTCTCCATTTCCCGCCACATTCTAAGAGTCAAAACGCAGGCGAGCTGGTGAACAATACCTTAAGACAAGGAAACAAAAAGGGACATACACACCACCGTCTTAAAACCAGCACAGCATACAGCTGTCATTTACTTCCAATTACTTAGTTTACTCTTAAATTGTCATTTACCAGTTGTTGAATTGTCATTTACTGTCATTTACTTTATTTACTGTTGAATATGTATAATTTGGATGGAGGTTGACAAAGAAGAAGACTGTTGTGGAAGTAAATGAGAGCTGTACGCTGTGCTGGTTTTGAGACGGTACTGTGTACTTCGACCCTTTTTGTTTCCTTGTCTCAAGGTTTTATTTCTTAATTATGACTAAAAATAGACGCGAATTATCATCATCACCAATTACGTCTTCGTCCATCGCTGGATTTTTTTCCGATATGCTACTCACTTTTCCTTCAGTCGTGCTTGATGTGCTTGCGGAAGCGCCGGCAGTATCCATCGTTCGCGGTTTCGGTTTTATTTTCGGATTTGGCTTGGCTACAACATCTGCAGTGAAGTGGTCTTCTCAAACAGCTCGCTCCCCCCTCAAAGGCAACGTGAGAGCGTTTCTGAGCGGCCATTGGCGGGGCCCTCAGAGTGATTGACAGGACTCGGCAAAGTTTCAGCAAAAGCTCGCTCCAGAAGCGAGGTGTGCGCGCAACTTTTTTTAGATGCGCGCGTCCTTTTCTGACTCGTTCAGAAGGCGCAACCATTTCGCGAAATTACGTTTCGCGACACTAGATGCGCGAGAAAAATGCATCGTGTGAACGGGCCTTAAGTCAACAAACTCGTGCTGAGGTCAGCTTGAAGAAAGAAGTAGAAAAAGAGCGCTCGAATGGTTGGGTCAGTTCAGTCACCTCCACTGTTCGAGGCTGGAGCTCAAGAATTCAAGTGTCGAGGAACTATGGTTGCCGCGACTTCGGATGTTCCAACACCTGATCCGTTGAAGCCGCTTCACAACGTCAATAAGGATTTCAAGACGTCCAGGATTACATTGGAAACAGGAAAAAAGACTAAGAATTCCCATTCGTCATCGCTCTCTTCAACCGTACGCTTGGACGTGAGTTTCATAAGGCGAGCCATCATCGTCGGCACTAACCTCCTCGTCATGCTGCTTTCCTTAGTCGTCCTGTGGGCCAGCTTCGGGGCTTCCCACAACCGACCGGGTCAGTCGATTGCCTTCTGGAGCAACCTTTTTAACAAGTCATTCCTCTTCACCTTCGTGATGCACTTCGAGATAGCTCTGATTCTAATCAGCGTACTCGCATTAATCACGTCATCCGCCGGCTTCCTCGGCGCTCTCCGCGAAAATGTTTTTTTCCTCCACGTCTATCACGTCGGCATCGTTATATTCCTCGGGAGCGACGCCATAGTCGCCTTTCTCGTCGCATTTCTACCGCATGTCCTGAGGAACTTCATCAAAAGAGGCGGGTACGTGGACTTTATAACTTCGTACAGGGAGAGCCCGGACCTGCAAAATATCATCGACAACCTGCAAGAGACTCTCCGGTGCTGCGGTCTGTCGAGGGACTCCTTCCGTGACTGGGAACTCAACGATTACTTCCGCTGCCTGGACGCCAACCCGAGTCGCGAGCGCTGCGGCGTACCGGCCTCTTGCTGTCGAGTCAACAACACCGCGACGAATCCTCCCAACGCGCTTTGCGGTTCGGGAATCCTCCTGACCGACGAACAGAACGCCTGGGCGAACATCTACACGCGGAGTTGCGCCGACGCTGCCCTTTCGTATTTCCGCCACCACATGCTGGACTACATCTTCATCTGCGTCGCCCTCGCATTGTTCATGGTCTTTTTGTTAGTCACGTCCGTCATCCTTCTCGACGATATAAAGAACATGAGGCTCATCTACTCCACCTATTACGGCATTCTGGCTCGCGGGCAGGAAGGGATGAAGAGAGCGAATGTGTCTCTGCCGGCTAGTCCCAAGGCAGGCACCCCGCTAGGAGAAGACGACGCTGTCATGAAGGCGCTTCGTCACCACATTGGGCGCGCTCACTCGGTGGCAGTCGGGGGCATGAAGAGTGCTTCTGCAAGCCTTAGCCGCCTTTCTGCTTCTCACCATTCGAAGCCTCGTCCGAAGGAAGGGGTGTGAACTTGATAAATAGGTGTACCATCGCTTTTACACCGAATCATTCGTAAGATTTGGCTGGTTTTGACTGTATACGTTTCGAAGTTAATAGATATTACAATCATACTATTTTGATGTGAACTGTTCGAGAGTGAAATTAGTGTCGTCTTTATATTTTATTTACCTGAGTTACTTCTAGGAGTTGTTTTCTTAGTGGCGAATCTAAATATGCATTTTTATGAATAAGTAAAGCATCCAATGACATCTGACGTCAAACAATATTGGAGACCTCTATCAATCTGTCATCGCGTACCGCACTACCGGAGCCTTTGAAGCATGTTTTTAAGCGCGCTCCCAAAGGTCACGGGAGCTTAAAAGCACATCTCAAAGGCTACCGTAGTGCGGCACGCGGAACACGGTAACGGTTGGCTAAAATACCCTATTAACGAACATTCGCAACTTTCAGCGATGGTAGTACCGCGGCGTGAAAATCGTGATCCGAAGCTCATGGAGGATTGGCTCCAAAATTAAGGTGCTTGCTTACACTTTCAGGCGTGGAATCATACCGAAAGGCCCTTACAACGCTCATATTTTACAAAATTAGAATTACTAGCGCCTCCCAGACTCAATCTCGTAGTGTTGTTCTACGAGGATCATCCAAATTGTGGTGTGTATGTTTATACAGCCGGAAGTCAGTCTGCCTCAGTGGGCGTCTGGTGTCTGAGCTGTAGATGAGCAATTTAGCCAGTGCAGTACAACCGCTAACCTGGGGTCTTTAACGTGCACCACCCAGTAGTGAAACACGACCGCACGCCGCTATGATGCTCATCTAGATCCAAACGGGCAGGGCGGGGATTGAGCCCCCTGGGTTCTGCAGCGCGAGCTTTCGCTCCACGTGCTCCTAGCTGGTGCGCGCTAGACCATTCGGCCACCGAACCCCCGCGTGGAATGAATGGGGTTAAAACATAAAATGTAATGCAAATTAAAAGTCGCCGAATGTTCCAAATTATTTCACTCTATAAGGTAACTATTTGCCATAAGAATTAGTACTCGCAGAATTTTAGATGGAGGCGGGTTTTGAACCCAGGACCCTTCGGGTACGAGCCAGACGCGCTGGCGACTGGGCCACGCACACTTTTAGAGCGCAGCTCTTAAGCGCTCGTTTCTGGCTTAAGCGGCGTCGCCGTTGGCGTCGCCGTCGCCGTAACCAAGGTCACCCCAAGGTCACGTGACCCTCAAGGTCTTTGTGACCCCCGAGGTCACGTGACCCCTCTCAAGGTCACCTCAAAGTCACGCGACCCCCAAGGTGACCCCAACGTGACACCCCAGGTCACGTGACCCCCCAGGTCACGTGGCCCCCTCCCCGAGGTCACGTGACCCTCCCCTCCACCCCCCCCCCAAAGTCAGGTGACCCCCCGGAGCATATTAAAGAATGAGGGGAGGAGGACAAGGAGGGGTCTACCCTTCCCTCAGTACCCTTCCCTCCTCCTCCTCAAGAGCTGCGCTCAAATTCGGCGTTACAAAGAGTTGTAAACGGCTTTCACTTTTTTAGAGCGCAGCTCTTAGGCTCCCGTTTCCGGCTTGAGCGTCGTCGGCGTCGCCGTCGGCGTAACCGCGACCCCCCCTCCCTCCCGAGGACCTCGGGAGGACCTCGGGCTCCTTCGGGAGGGCCTCGGGAGGACCTCGGGTTCCTTCGGGAGGACTTCGGGTTCTTTCGGGAGGACCTCGGGTTCCTTCGGGAGGACCTCGGGTTCCTTCGGGAGGACCTCGGGTACCTTCGGTGACCTCGGGGAGGGCCCCCCCAGGTCACGTGACCCCCCCCCCCCCCCGAGGTCACGTGACTCCCCTCAGGTCACGTGATCCCCCGAGGTCACGTGACCCCCCCCTCAGTACCCTCCCCCACTCCTCCTCAAGAGCTGCGCTCTAATTCGGCGTTACCCCCCATTCACACTGGAAGCGGATCCGCGTTCGCGAAGCGGTTGCGAAAGCGGTTGTATAAAGATCCAGTGCAATTGCACGCGCATTTGATGTCATCGTGTGCGCGTGCAATTGTACTGAATCCTTATACAACCGCGTTCGCAACCGCTTTGCGAACGCGGATCCGCTTCCAGTGTGAATGAGCCCAGAGAGTTGTAGACTTCTTTCATTTTTTTCCCTTTATTGTGGGCCACACACAATTTTTTTAACCTTCAATGAATGGAAATACTTCTAAACTAAAGGCATGTTTTCGTTTCTATATGCACATGCAATCAAAACACTGTTTGTGGAAGTCTATTTACATACAACTGTCACAGATAATTTATATTTGGCATATAGACGTGATAATTGATTAAAATACTTATATGCACAGCGATATCACCGCAGCGTCCAACTCAATGAATCTAATACAATTCTCACAGATTCACAAACACACATACACTCACACTTATATTGCACTCTTCACAAATCTGGGAGGCCTAGACATGCATCGAAGGCGGGGAACCAGTCGGGTGAACTGAAATGGGAATCGTATACACTTCTCACTTGCGCTACCAGCTCGGAAAAGAAGGACTTCGTCGCACGTGGTTTCTCTGGGTGTCTGTCATCCGGCATTTGCATAAGCTATGTAATCCTAACAGTGTTGTGCCCGTTACCGAAAAAAAGTAACGAAATAGCGTTACTCGTTAGTTTGGTAAAAAGTAACGCGTTATCGAGCTACGTTACTCGTTTACAAACGTAACGATATACCGTTACCGTTACTTTTCAAAAATAACGAACGTTACTTTTACGTTACTTTTCTGCTCGAGTACATGTGTTTGGCAGATAGGTATGGTAAGCCTCCTTAACAAGCTTGGATAAAGATAAAAATTTACAGAGTGGTTTCATAGTGTTTTGATGCCCGAAGCAGCTTAATTTTCGGCATGCAGATTAGGCATTGAAACTGTAAATTACCTGATTCTGTCTCCTTTAGTTGATACATTTCATTCAGACCTGCTGGCCATGGCGACGGACTTTCGTTATTCATGCCCATCTCGCGCGCAGAATGAGTTGGAGATGTTAGTCAATCGGCTTTTATAAACTACAGCATGCGAACGAGAACTGGTGGAACACAACCAGCCAACCAACACCCCTCATCTGTACGCCGGTTTTAGTAACAGTCTGGTTCATACTATTACCAGAGACTGATTTACTTCACTATTTGGAACAGGACACCGGTTACCAGCACACTGGCTATAATCACTTGCTGCCTCTTACCAGCAGTAGCTCTTAGTTTTTCTGTGAAACAAAAAAAAAAAAAAAAAAGGTTTCGTGTTTGTAAGTTTTGTTTCCAGGTTTAAATTTTTTTTATTTTTTATTATGACCTTAGGGAATTAAAGACTAATCAAGCGAAACATTCTTCTGTGTACAAAGGTGGGTCAGGAACTTTCAGGCAGCGGGGAGAGAGCGAGAGTAAAAATATTCCACAAAAGATTTTTTTTTTTTATAAAACTAGAGAAAGAAGCAAATCGTTTCGCCACTAGTTGTCCACTGTTGTAAACGGACGTCTCTCCACGGCTCCACCCCCCCCCCCCTCCCCCCCCCCCCCCCCCCCCCGCTGTCCACTTCTGCTGCACAAAGCGGGGGGGGGGGGGGGGGAGAGAGAGGAGGGAGGGGAGGAGGGTGTAACGCAGTCGTTCGTTCAAGCCTTGAGGGTGGTGACACTACAAAAACATTTAAAAAAAGGAGGATTAACGGAATTAGCTGGTAGCCGAAGGTTTTTATCGCCTTCGAGAAGTGAGTTTTTTTTTTTTTTTTTAACTTTACTGTGACGGATGCTGGTTCCGTGCAGCGATAAGCTGGTGCAGGATTTCACCAGTTTTGGTCAAAAGTAACGGGTAACAAGTAACGAAATTTGACAGCCGATACCGTAAAAAAGTAACGAAAATACTTTACTCGTTAGTCATTCAGAATACTAACGAGTTCGTTACTGCGTTAGCGAAAAATGTAACGCGTTACCAGTAACGTCGTTACTAGTAACGCGTTACTTCCAACACTGAATCCTAATAGGGTAAAAATGTCGTACGGCAGAGCTTCATTTTCTTAGAATCAGAAGAAGCGGAGACTGTAATCGTTAAGAATCAGATCTTTTTTTAAGAGCGCGTTGCAGCACATCCCAGAATCAAAATTGGTCATTGCAATAAATAATACAGTGTTTTATTTTTTTATTTATTTGGAGTTTCTGACAATACAGAAATTGCCATGGAGCTGGGGCAAAAAGGCGACAATAAAGTCCCTGACTAGGCCTTATAGTACCAGGCTACACTCACAACACAGGCAGCAGGCAAACATACAGCAAAACAACAACAAAAAAAGAAATAAAACGAAAAAATATAAATATGTACTACCAGTGAGGTCAAAGGATTACCAAAAGAAAATGATATAACAGCAACATAATTGCAAATACATCGATATAGATGATTGGAACCTACACACACACACAAAGAGAAGAAAAAAACTACAACGGATGAAAGAAATACATTTTTGCCTGCTTTATACACTCACGTCACAGACAGAAATCAACATATACTACCCATGAGGTCATAGAATCATCTAGAGAAAAATTATATGACAGCAACATTATAACGAATAGATTGATATGTATGATGAGAACAGACAAAACAGTAAACTACAATGGATAAAAAATACATTTTTGCTTGTTTTCAGAAGGAGCTATTGTCAATGATTTCAAGGGGACATCACGACGCGGCTCCTGGTCAAAGGCAACAGGACGGCTCCCATTGCAGTCACCCGATCCGTGCGACAAGGCTGCCCGATGTCGCCTATTCTGTTCGCATTGTACCTGGAACCGTTGTGCAGGGCCATTATCGGTGACGCGAGCATTCGTGGGCTGTTCCTAGCGTCGGGTACGCTTAAAGTGCTCGCCTAAGCAGATGACGTCACAGTGTTGTGCTCGTCAAGGACGCAAGTGCGCGCTGTAACCCAACACATCGCAGACTTTTGCAGTGTCTCGGGTGCGGCGATGAACACAGACAAATCTGTCGGAG